GAGAGAGAGAGAGAGAGAAACAGTGTGTGCGTGTGCATTTTTCTGGGTCAAGGAGACTACAGAAAAAGGAAAATGTTTTGTTTTTTTGGAGCAATGCAGTAAGTGAACACATGCAGGTCTGTGTAATGGGCCAATCGAACCGCCCGAGGTGCTGGTCATCAGCCATCCGTCTTCTGCTGCGCGGAGGATGAAAGAAATGGCCGCTCTCACACCACAGATCACACACATGTCAAACAGAAGACAACTCATTTGATCAACTCTGGTGTGAAGCTGCTGTTGCCTTGGAAACGAAGAAAGAATATATCAGTTTTGCAAATATTTGACCGATGCTTCGTAAATGTCCTCGACATTATTGTGATTTAATAAAAACCCTGTTTGAGGATTTGCATTAATGTCCTCTGATAATGCCGAAGTTAAATGGCCCATAGTTGTGTGATAGCGGATCTGTGTTGTGGATCTGTGCTGTGTATGTGCGTTCGTTGACGTCAGAGCTGCTGGTTTTTGGCACTCGCAGTGTTGGACTGGGGGGAGTGTGATGCTGAGAAGCAGATGGCCAGGTACCGTCGATACTGTCACACTGGAGAACCATTGTCAGTTCGTCTCTTGAAGTGCCAGCTGAGCCACACGTGCTGCTGGCGTCGCTCCGTAAAAACCCAAACGTGAAGGCTGCTCCCTTAAATATTTGTCTTGCTGATGAACTGTAGCTTGTGCAATAATCATCATCTTTGAATTGAAATTGAATGTTGTTGTCAGTGCTGCTGTAGGAAAATCAAGGGATCGACAGTTGATTGTCACAGTTTTCATCCTCTGGGTCCATGAATGTCTGGAAAAAGCATTTATGGAAATTCATCCAATAAATGTTGGGATATTTTAGTGAGCAGCAGCAACAGACCTGGAGCTTTGCTAGAAAACAATCTTTTCAGTTTTTTCATACGGTGAACAAACATTGTGCCCCATCAATGCTCTTTAACGTCTCCATCTTCCTTGCACTCCTCCCTCATACGTATCTGACTCATAGAAGTAACTCCACCGCAGTATTGCAAATATGCAGATTCAGTCATAATGCTGCTTTAAAAAGAAGCACTTGCAAATTTTTTTGGTATGGTGGTGTGATTTAAATCTGAAGCTTCAAACAAAAGCTGTTGTATTTTCTGCACAATGAGAGAAGATTAACTGCAGAATTGACTATCACTGGATGGATGCATGAAAACTATAAATACACACAACGACTGGTGTGGTCCCAAAATCACACTCAAGAATGTGTGTGTGTGTGTGTGTGTGTGTGTGTGTGTGTGTGTGTGTGTTCCCTCTGGGGCAGATTGTCTGCTACAGTACTGTTCTGCGAATTCTCACTGGACTTGTGATTGTGTCTGCAGACTTCTTTTTTTTCCCTATTCTGTCCACGCCCGGCAGCAGGGGGGCTGAGAGAGGAGCGGAGTCAGGGAAACAAAATGAGAAGATTTCTGCAGGACTCAGTCTCAGCCTGGTTTATCAGGCTGCATGTGGTGCAACTAAAATAACTTCATGAAATAACTGATTGTTACTTGCTATAAAAACTTTTATAATTGAGAAGTCTGACTTTTTTCAGAGACCAAAACTTCACAGACCTCATAACCAGTACACATTGCAACGCATGTAATCCTTCAGTATCTAGACCCCAGTTTTTGCCTCTCCTGTATAAACAGTGCATCCAGAATCCTCAAAGACTCTTCTAACCATTCAAATGAGGAAAAAATAACTTTTCAATCTGTTTGCATAATGTTTGTATGTAAATATGCAATGTGACATATAAAGATTACAATGTCAAATATGTGGCAGTTTCAAGCAGTTCCAAATAATCCAGGCCAAATGACCCCCACAACTCATAATGAACTAATAATAAATTACACGATCATTACAAATTACACAGATATAAAGTCAAGTAAAACTGTATAGAGAATACAGTAACACAGGAGATTTACACTATGGGCTATAGGGTGATAACATTATAGATCATAGACATTAAGGAAGGATGAGATTTGGGAAGAAGTGAGGGTTATCATTCATATCATTCACTTGTGTGAGTTTCTTCCAAAAAAGCAATATGAAGCCAAAGGTCACAAACTGACTGTGCTAAAATGTGTTGTTAATGCCCTCCTCTGTTTTTTCTTTTAAAGGTCATAAGTTATTATTTTCCTGAAAGAAAAACTCACTCAGCTCTTTGACTCAAACTTAATAATAATACATGGGATGCACAAACTGGGGCTAGTTTAGCACTAACTGTGGCGTGTTCCTCTCTCCAGTGACGGCTGGGCCGACCGAGTCGAGGTGGTGGAGGGCTACGAACAAGAAGCCGTGGGCGGCATCACCGTGAAGCTGCAGTCCGATGAGGTCTCCTCCTTCGACGACTACTTCCTAAAGCTCAGGCTCAGCACCAACACCCGCAACCCGTGGTTTCCGGAGTTCTGGCAGTACCGCTTTCAGTGCCGCCTCCCCGGACACCCGCAGGAGAACATGAATTATGCACGCAACTGCTCAGGTAGCTAAACAACTAGTCGGGCAATTACGACGCTTCCTGCAGCTCTTTCTGGTTTACAGTTTACGCTGCTGTGCACATCAGCTTGTCTCCTTGAGCTGCTCCGATGTGCGCAAAGCTTGGGGCATGAGGCCAAAAGGCCCCGTAAACTGGAACACACTCGTTTAATTATGAATGAGACGTGCCAGAGGGTAGAATTCTCTCTGAGTCACTTCAATAACACATATTTTCTCATATTGTTCATTTCTGTGACACGTGGCTTTACAGAGGATGATGATCTAGGTAACTTAAATCCTTTTCTCTTGCAAAGGAACAAAGTAAATGCATTAGCTTAAATTCTTGGTTTCAGGAAACAATGCTCAACAAGCATGTTTCCAAATTATATTTTCACATTCTTCTCATACTTCTTTCTTTCTTTTTTTTGTTTTAAAATAAATGCTCACATGTATATATTTACGTTTACAGTCTTACAGTAAAAATCGATAAGCATGTTAGTGCTGCTTCCTCGAGCACCCTCTATTTTCAAAAACATGATGGAAAACTTACTTTAATTCAAGTGCATTGATAAACGTAAATATAAAATGATGCATGCAGCAGAAACGACAGTGTACGCCTCAGTTGACAGCTCACGAGATTCTCCTATGAATTTGTTTTTGCTATTGCACCTTCCTTCCTTTTTGCACTTGATTTAATCTTCTTACCTTTGCAGCATTTACACCTTTTTTTAAAAGATTAATAGAGAATAGAGCATCTCTCCTTTATTATGCACATACCTCAAGCTTTTACTCAACCATCATATTTTAATGGCAGATGATAGAGTATTTCTTTTTGTCTCATAAGCGGGGGGAGGGTTACAGTTTGCTGTCCTGTTCTATTGT